ATATGCCCAACGTGTGTCCCACGAAGATATATATCTTTTGGAAATGGCACTTTTTTTTTTCCTTTTACGTTTCTCCCTTTTACTCGACTTCTTGGGACCGGAATTGTGTGATAGTTTGGATTCCATACCTCCCCTATGCGACTAAGGGAATTAAGATGAATTGACCCGGTGTACCTGGCATGACAGGTGCTAACTGTGGAGGTATGGTCTAGTGGTAATAACAAAGATAGCTCCTCTGAACATTTTCAAGGAAAACATCAACGAACGCGAATATAGTAAACGTTTTTACCCTTTTAAGTCTAGAACGTGTCGATTCGGCAGCTCCAGCCCAACATGTTTCAGCTATCTTCCATGAAAGAAACTTCCATATGATATAGAATCCGAGTCCCGTTGGAAATTTCATCCTTATTTCTAGTTTTGCAAAAGCGATCGAATATCGACCCATATTTTTACGATAAAAAAAAAGCAATAGCATACAATATTTACATTACTCGGACTGTTATCCTCATCTTCATTGCCATATTCACAACGTTTCGACTGTTGTACGCTCCGGTCTTTTTCAGATTGGAATTTCGAACCGAAACCTTTATTTCGTCCACCAGGGTAGATTGTGCTATTTCCACAAGCCATGCCATCAATATCTATCTATATCTCCGAGATGAGGTATTATGATTACGATAGAAAGGATTCGGTTCGAAATTCTAATCACCTGAAGAAGGCCTGAGCGTACAACTGCCGAAACGTTGTGAATATTCCAATGAAGATGAGGATAACAGTCCGAATAATGTAAATAATCATGATACCTTATCTCAGAGATATAGACATATATTAAAGAAATAACATGTTGGAGAAAAACTATTTTTAAAATTATTATAATGAAAATTGTCTATGTGCCGTATCCCTCCGGAATGTTGGCGGGCATAGCCCTCCACAATATCCTTTTCTTAGTAGCTCTTAATATGCCTGTCTTTTTGGCATCTCTTCCAAAACCTGCTCCACCATCTATTCACACAAGTTCGCCAGGGAAGTTGGGCGTTGCTTTCCTCTGTCCACCTTACCTTCAAACTGTCCTGTGAGTATCAAATTTTCCAACCCCTCTTTCCTCATTATGTGCGCCAGAAATTTCAATCTCTCTTTCCGATTGTAAGTATAAGTGTCCTTTTTGATGCCATTGTCACTAGATATCAGTATCAGTTGATATTTTGAAGTGTGTATTATTATTTACATTATTCAGATTATTGTCCTCATTTTGTCGCCATATTTATTACAACGTTTCGGCTTTGTAATGCCCGGTTGTTCGGGTTTTTAGATGAACTGAACCCTTTATTTCGCTCACTGGGGTAGACTCTTCAGTTCCACGTGCCATGTTTAAAACAGTTATCTCCTGTTAACTTCCTTCTGAAAGTTCTCCACTGCTTTTAATTTGGATTGAACTCAACTTGTTCCTGTCACTGGATCGAACTAACGCCTTTATCAAGAACACATGGCACAGTGGATAAGGACGTTAGTTAAATCCAGTGACAGGATCCAAAGTGTGTGAGTTCAATATTTGGTTAATACGGTGGAGAACGTGAAGATGGGAATTAACAGGAGATAACTGATAACTGACATCCATTAGACATGGCACGTGGAACTAGAACAGTCTACCCCAGCTAGCTAAATAAAGGGTTCAGTTCGACATTCCAACCCCCTGAAGAAATCCGGAGCGTACAACGGCCGAAACGTTGTAATAAATATGGCGACAAAGATGAGGACAATAGTCCGAATAATGTAAATAGTGTACATAATACCTCATCTCAGAAATATAGACAGATACTAAAGGGCCGAAACGTTGTAATAAATATGGTGACAAAGATGAGGACAATAGTCCGAATAATGTAAATAGTGTACATAATACCTCATCTCAGAAATATAGACAGATACTGAAGGGCCGAAACTTTGTAATAAATATGGTGACAAAGATGAGGTCAATAGTCCGAATAATGTAAATATTGTACATAATACCTCATCTCAGAAATATAGACAGATACTGAAAGGCCGAAACGTTGTAATAAATATGGCGACAAAGATGAGGACAATAGTCCGAATAATGTAAATATTGTACATAATAGCTCATCTCTGAAATATAGACAGATACTGAAAAAGACCGGAGCGTACAACGGCCGAAACGTTGAAATAAATTCCTCGTTACTCACATGTTAGGTTCATGGTCTTCTCAGCATCATTCTGTGGGACTGCCTGTTACTATATCGAAAAGTTGCGGAATAAATATCTCAAAACTATATGAGCGTATATTTTAACGAATCTTTCAAGACGAAAAATATATAATTTGAAAAGAATATTTTAATTTGTGACGGCTGTTAAACAGAATTATTGATTTCTTAAATACCGTTATGTATAAAAAAATTGTATGAGACAATTTTGCAAATAATTACTGGTCTTTTGAAAAAAATGATCGCTGGGAATATTTTAGAAATCACGTAATGTGCTTTATTGATGTTTCTGTATTTGAATAAACGAACACATATTAATAATATCCTTGGGGATATGGAATTAGATACTTTTTATTTATATAATCTTAATTCTTTCTCTCTCTTATATGTCCTATCTTTCAGGATGCATTCGATCATGGTTCTCCACAGCTTCCTCTTTGCTTTGATGCAAATGAATCCCTTTATTGCTCTTGTTTCTTATCTTTCGATCAAACTCCCTATTTAGACATAATCGATCTCGCGAGACAATCTTGTTAACCATTACATCACGTCGAAGTGTCCATCATTTCTTATATTAGATAATGATTTACTAAGCGTAGCTTAGATGTAGCACCCGGTGAGGATCACACTCACTCGTCAGTCGTAATCGATCTCGTGAGACAAGCTTGTTAACCATTACATTACGTCGAAGTGTCCATTTTTTCTTATATGGTGTTTTACTCAGCGTAGCTTAGATATAGTACCGGGCCGAATGTATGGGGTACCCAGTGAGGATTACATTCTGTCGTAATTGATCTCGCAAGACAAAATTGTTATCCATTACAACACATCGCAACGCCCTTCTCTTTATGAGATTTTATCGCTCTATCCTCAAACTTGCTTTGATTTTCTTGTCTCCAGTCTACCTTGTTAGTCTTGAACTCTACAAGCCTTCTTTTCTCATTATTAAATGTCCAAAGCCTATCACGAGTCTGTATTTATTGCATTTCCTTTATTATTTTGCAACTTTTGGGATAACATGTTGAAATATAATTCCGTTATTTTCTCCACAGTTTTGGATTCAGAATAAGTCTTCCCTTAGACTAGCTGTCAGCCAACTTTAGGCAGAACTTGAATTTTAGTTACCGATTCCATTTTTCGCGCACGTTTTTTAACGTCAGTATGTGTCCCATTCTTAGTTTCCATTCTTCAACTATCTACAGGTGTCATTTTTTCAGCCGAACAACATCTTTGCCGCTTTAAGATTTTGTTCTTATTTTAACTAAAATATTTCTTTTTGATAGTTGATAACTGTTAGGTAACATTAACATATTTGGGAAGGGTATTAAAATAACCTAGAACCTATAATGTCAGTAAACCACCTCTATATTAATGGGAAATATATTTCGTAAATATTCAAAAAATTAGAAATTAGAACGTTTTAATAAATATGGCGACAAAGATGAGGACCATAGTCCGAATAATGTAAATAGTGTACATAATACCTCATCTCAGAAATATAGACAGATACTGAAAGGCCGAAACGTTGGAATAAATATGGCGACGAAGATGAGGACAATAGTCCGAATAATGTAAATAGTGTACATAATACCTCATCTCTGAAATATAGACAGATACTGAAAGGCCGAAACGTTGTAATAAATATGGCGACGAAGATGAGCACAATAGTCCGAATAATGTAATTAGTGTACATAATACCTCATCTCAGAAATATAGACAGATATTGAAAGGCCGAAATGTTGTAATAAATATGGCAACAAAGATGAGGACAATAGTCCGAATAATGTAAATAGTGTACATAATACCTCATCTCAAAAATATAGACAGATACTGAAAGGCCGAAACTTTGTAATAAATATGGCGACGAAGATGAGGACAATAGTCCGAATAATGTAAATAGTGGAAATTTTCTATGATTCCTCGACATATAGACTATTAGAAATTTCCCAGAAATCTAGTCTGTCTTTGTTTCTAATCATTACGGCCGAATTGCATTGAAATGTTAGTTCCTGTACGATCACCGAAGTTAAGCAACACCGGGAATAGTCAATAGCTAGATGGGAGACTACTTACGAATGCCAGTTGCTGTAAGCTTAGATGTGCGGGTGGTGAATTGGATAATGGCTTGGATTTGTTAATCAGAGAGCCGAGTTCCAATTCCCGTCGGGTTCTTTAGATTTACTTACATGTTTCCGTTACGAAAAATATGAATTCATACCAACGCCTAAACTATTATTGCTAAAATAAATGAATAATATTTTCTGGCTTTAAATAACCTAGAAAGGATTAATAAACTGTAGAAAAAGAATCAGTCGATCAATCATTTCAGAAACACCTATTTTTTCAATTGTAGGTTCGGTTTTCTTTTTGAGAGAAAGTAACGATGAAGTAATGATTTCTCTGCCTAAAAAGAAAGCTCCCAAAATATATGTTTAGTGTCGGTAAAAACGAAAAAGCAAGAACTGTCACTTAACTCTATTATGGGGTTTTAATTAATATATCAGTCCCTACCTAAGACCGCTGAACTAGAACAAACTTCAGGGTCAGGTGTTGAAAATGAGGCACAAATCACCCAAGAGAACTCCAGCGAATTCAACGTGAGAGGGACAAGAATTCTTAAATCGATCACCTTGGGAATCTGACGTGTGATTACTTTTGTACATTCTCTTTTTAGGTAAGAGGATGATTGTTGATCTATTGACTCTTGTTATGGCACAGGTGAGATGATGTCAGGTGTTTATGTATCGGGCGAATAGACTTGAACCATTGCCTAAGAAATATAGTCGATCAACAAAATAGAAAAAAAGTTGTTGCGTAGTAACGATGGACAGCAAATCCGGACAAGTGATGGGGACGGTAGATTGGAGAAGTCAAGATATGAAAGAACATTTGGAGGGTAAAGAGCCCCGACCATAGAATGCGGGTGAGGGTGGTGTTGTTGTTGTCGAAGTAAAAAACTTGTTGAATGAGAAGAAGAAAAAAAAAGAAGGGCGTGGACAATGTGTAGAGAGAAAGGCTAATAAAATTAAAAAATAAAATAAAAGGAAGGAAGAAACTGAAAAGAAAAATTCAGTCGATATACAATAGAAATGAAGGAATAAAAGTCGGAGAAATCGAAGGAAAGAGAAAGACAGAGAGAAGGAGGGAGAGATTGGCAAAGGGAGATAGCTGGAGAGAGGGTGTGGGAGGAAGATGGAAATGGGGAGGAGAGAAAGAGACTAAGAGTGCTGAACACAGAGCGAGGGGGAGATTAGTAGAGGAAGAAAGCAGGAGAGAGAGAGAGAGAGGGAAAGTGAAGGAGAATAAGGGAGGATAGAAAGAGAGGAAAAGAATGTGAGAGGGTGCGTGAGAGATGGAATAAGAGTATGTGAATGAGAGAGTGGGGAGAAAGTGTATATGCTTGATAGAGAGAGAGAGAGAGTAATGTGGGTGAGAGAGGAGAGTGTTCGTGTGAGAGGTTAACAGTATGTGTATGAGAGAATGGGGAGAAAGAGTGTGGGATTGATAGAAAAAGAGAGAGTAATGTGAGTCTGAGAGATAGAGGAGAGTATGGAAGAGATAAATGAAGTTAAGCAACGTTGAATCTGGTCAGTACATAGATGGGTGACCGCTTGAGTATAATAGGTGCTGTAAGATTGAATGTGCGAACAGTGTAACGGGCTTGCTGTCATATCCCGTTGAAACAACGGTTCTCATATGACCACTGAAGTTAAGCAACGTTGAATCTGGTCAGTACATAGATGGGTGACCGCTTGCGTATACTAGGCGTTGTAAGCTTGAATGTGCGGACAGTGCAAGGGTCTTGCGATCATATCCCGTTGAAACAACGGTTCTCATACGATCACCGAAGTTAAGCAACGTTGAGTATGATCAGTACCTCGATAATCGCTAACGCCCAAAATGCCCTTGGGAAAATGTCACGTTGCAAAATAGGAAATGCTGACACACATATTGCAAATAAGAAGTAGTTTATTTACATTATTCGGACTATTGACATCATTTTTGTCGCCATAATTATTACAACGCTTCATTGACTTTATCCACTGTGCCTTTCTCCAAGAGGACATTGTGCCATGTGTCCTCAAGGAAAGAGGCACAGTGGATATTACTTAGATCCTGTGAGAGGACCCAAAGAGTGTGAGTTCAGAAACTGGTTAAGGCGGCGGAGAACTTGGAGAGGGAAATTAACAGGAGATAATTGACAACTGACATCCATTAAACATGGCACGTGGAACTAGAACAGTCTACCCCAGTGAGCGAAATAAATCGTTCAGTTCGACATTCCAACCACCTAAAGAAGTTCGGAGCGTACAACAGCCGAAACGTTGTAATAAATATGGCGACAAAGGTGAGGACAATAGTCCGAATAATGTAAATAATGTACATAATACCTCATCTCAGAAATATAGACAGATAATGAAAGGCCGAAACGTTGTAATAAATATGGCGACAAAGATGAGGACAATAGTTCGAATAATGTAAATAATATACATAATACCTCATCTCAGAAATATAGACAGATAAATAAGTAGTTTATTTCGAAGAATAATTTGGCACACATTTGAGAATACAGATTAATATAATAAACAGTCAATCCTTAACTCCCCGTTATTTACCTGTTACCACCCCACATATTTTTTGCACTTACTTAATTTTATGAAACTAGAGGAATTCTGCGTAATGATTTTTATTGACTATATTAGTTAAATGAAGAAATCTTTGTAGAATTTAAATCATCAATTTCTTTTGTAAAATAGGACCCCGAAAATCTGCTCTGAATTGTAAAATAAAACATGCCCTAAAAATAACCCATTATTTAATTAGAGAAACTCTTGATTGCTTTTATGAATATATCTATATATTAAGTACAATATTATCTTAAAAAAAGAACGTTTTCGATAAGAAATGAATTTTTGCAATATTTTTTTTATTTTTTTATAATTCTAATTAGAGTAATTTATAATATTTTCAAATCTTCAGTTTCAATGCTGTAACACTTAGGAAATATTGCTATTAAATAAAACTATATTTAGTAATCATATATCGTAACGCTTATTACAATCTGACGACCCTAATATTTTAAAAAGAGTTTTGAATTGTTTTTGCATTTGTATAAACGTTCCGAATTTTATAGATATGGTAGACCATACGCGGCATTACCGGAAAATAAGAGCGATAACAATAGTAAACGTAGAGAACCGACAAGCAGAGTATTTATTAAACGTTGATGCATCGGTATTTATTCGAGACCTACCTACAAGGCGGGACGTTTCATCTTTACCTTTTGCCTTCATTCTGCTCTGTGAGTGTCAAATTTTCCAAGCCCTCTATATTCATTATGTGACCGAGAAATTGCAACTGCCTTATCTGATGCTAAATATATGTGTCCTTTTGTTTTCTACTTTTAATAAAAACATCCGTCGTTGCTCACATTTTCAGTACATGGTATTCTCAGCATCCTTCTGTATAACCACATTTCTGTTGCTTCAAGTTTCTTCTTTTTCTGTTGAGGAGATTGTCCAGTATTCACTGCCATAGAGGAGGATTGATATTACGTAACAGTTCAGTACTCTTTTCTTTGCTTTAAATGAAATTATCCTGTTTCCTAATACTTTGCTTAGCTTTGGGAAAACTACTTTCTCTATCCTAAATCAATATTTCCTAGATATTTCAATTTTGAAACATTGCCTTGATATTTCAATTTCTGTAATTGCTTGATTTTCGTATCTCCAGTTGTATGTTGGTGGTGTCACTTTTTCTGACAACCATACATTTTTTTCTTGTAATTTAGTCCTTTCTTCTCGCCTTCCTTCGTTAGGAGTTTTTGTAGTTTTCATTCCGTGTCTGCTATCGACACTGCATCATAAGTATGCCATATGTTGTTCAGATTGTAGCCACCAATAATGAAAGCTGGCAGAACTTCTTGTACTCACAGAATCGCCTCTCTATATAGGTTGTAAAAGTTCGGTAAAAATTGTCCAGCATTCACTGTTGAGGTCTAACATAGAATAAGAGTTCAGTACTCTTTTTTTTGTTTCTAGAGAATTTTTGTTTGTTAATATTTTGCTTAGCTTTTGGAAGGCACATTTCGATATCCAAACTTGCAAAGTGAGTAGGTGTACATTTTTTTTTTATTAATGGATGTATCTTCCGGACAAGATAAAGAATTTCTTTAAGATAAAACTTATTCCCGAGAAATCTATTTTAAATTCACTTCTAGAAGGGATTCCGATTTAGAATCTATTGGAAACGTTATATTTTGCAACAGAGAGCATCCAAATCGTGATACCATTCATCCCTGATATTGTTATCAATTAGAATATAACCTTGACAATGGATTAGGCATTATTAAAACGAAGCAATAGAAAGTGAAAGAATAGGATTTCCAAGAAGGCCTAGAACAGATTAACGTTATGTGTTTTCTTCTTTACGCCTTATTTAAAAACAAAACAAAACGGGTTAAAACCACTGTTACTTAAAGCATTTTATATACATTTCAGAAGAGTGGCGCAGTGGCAGCGTGCAGGGCTCAAACGCCAGAGGTCTGCAGATCAAAACTACGCTGTGCTAACAACATTTTCGAGGAACGGTGGCGTAATGGATAGGGACTCGGACTGGGGAATCGGAGAGCCGAGTTCGAATTCCAGTTGAAACCATTACATTCACTTACGTGCTAATACCCTTGGGAAAGGTATGAATCCTCTTCTAGATTTTCCCGGAGGAGTAATGGATAGCGGCTAGGATTGGGGAATCAGAGAGCCGAGTTTGAATTCCAGTCAAATGCATTACATTCACTTACGTGCTAATACCTTTGTGGAAGTTATTAATCTTCTTCTTCTCTCCCAAGCTCTGGGCAAATAGCAAGTCAGACTGGGTTCTATCGCCTTTGATGGTAACTGGTCTACCGCAGAAAGAAATGGGAACTTCCTACGCGAAAAATGAAATCTGCCTAGTCAGTCATGTATCAAATTTTAGACGATCGCCCCAGCGTGTATCACGTATGGCACCTAACTATATACACTTAGGGGCAAAAGTATCATGACCTGTGAAACGAATGACAGCTAATATCGCGCGACAATAATGCTTGTCAATTGTCAGTGAGTTATGTAAAATTACATGACCTTCTTACATTCCTCAATATCAGGCACGTGAAATCTGTATAATATTTGGGAACTATTTAAATAGAGTGGTCCACTCGCAAAAAAAATAGAGAAAATTTGGTGAGGAAAATTTTTTTAGATTATCGTTCTTTACACATTTGTCAGGCTTTATATATGTAGACTGACGGGTCCTACATGCGAATGTCTGCACTGGTTTGAAAAGAAATGCAGTCCCTGTGAACATTTGTCTTGAAAATAACGATAGATTAGTGAAAGCTTCAAAAGTTTGCATCTGTGCGGAAGAGGTTGTAGTTGAGTAAAGAAGTCAGGTCAATAAGGCCTTGTATGGTCATAGTTGGTTTGATGAAATTCTTTCAGGAACGAAACGCGTTGGTAAAGAAAAATTCTTCTTTTCATTTCTTTTACTTATATTGCCTTTACAGATACTTTTTTCTTTATTTATGAAGTTTTGAATATACTTCACTTATAGATGCATACAAAAAATCATGTTATATTTATTTTACAAAAATATTTTTATACAACGAACAAATATAGGTTTTTATTTTATAATTTTTATTTTAATTATTCTGCTTTTTTTACGAAAGAAGAAGAAGAAGAAGAAGAAGAAGAAGAAGAAAGAGGAGAAGAGATCGAACGACTTGAAAGGATACGGAAAATAACAGGAAGAAGAAGATGAAAGAAGAGAAGAAGACAGACAATGTCTTGAAGGGATACGGCACATGCAAGAAGAAGAAGGAGGAGGAGGAGGGGAGGAGGGGGAGGAAGAGGAGAACAAGAAGAAGAAGAAGGAGGAGAAGAAGGAGGAGCGGAGGAGGGGGAGGAAGAGGAGAACAAGAAGAAGAAGAAGGAGAAGGAGAAAAGAAGAGAAGAACATCTTGAAGGGATACGGCACATGCAAGAAGAAGAAGAAGAAGAAGGAGGAGGAGAAGGAGGAGGGGAGGAGGGGGAGGAAGAGGAGAAGAAGAAGAATGAAAAAGAGGAGGAGAAGGAGGAGGGGAGGAAGGGAGGAAGAGGAGAACAAGAAGAAGAAGAAGGAGGAGGAGAAGGAGGAGAGGAGGAGGGGGAGGAAGAGGAGAAGAAGAAGAAGAAGAAGGAGGAGGAGGAGAAGGAGGAGGGGAGGAGGGGGAGGAAGAGGAGAACAAGAAGAAGAAGAAGAAGAAGAAGAAGAATGAATGAATGAATTTTGTATAAATGTTTGGCAGAAGAAGGATTAGAAAAATTAAACAAAAGACATATTTCACTAAGAACTGCAAAGGAGGGGAATTTTTGGGAAGACATGATCGCCAACGTCTTGAAGGGATACAGTACATACAACAAGAAGAAAGAGTTTGTGTGAATGGTTGGTAGAATATGTGTAACAGACATAGTCAAAAGAGAAATTGTAGTAACAACTTCAAAGGACACGAAGGTATGGTGTTTCATGGTCACTAACAGAAGAAGAAGAAGGAGGAGGAGGAGGAGAAGATGAAGGAGAAGAAGAAGAAGGAGGAGGAGAAGAAGAAGATGAAGAAGAAGAAGAAGAAGGAGGTGGAGGAGGAGGAGGGAAGATGAAGAAGAAGGAGGAGGAGAAGAAGATGAAGAAGAAGAAGAAGAAGAAGAAGAAGAAAAAGAAGAAGAAGAAGAAGAAGAATGAGGAGGAGGAGAAGATGAAGAAGAAGATGAAGAAGAAGAAGAAGATGAAGAATGAGGTTGTATAAAAATTGACAGAACAGGGATTAGGAGAGATAACCAAAAGACAAATCTTACTACAAGCTACAAAGGTCAGAAAATCATGCAGATGCCCACGGGCTGAAGGGACACGGCACATAGAAGAATACTGATTATCTGTACAAAAATCTCTTTAGATATCAATCCTATTGTTTATTTAAGATTTCTATTAATAACCAAACCCCAGATCTGGGAAGAAACTTTTGGTGACTTTGTATTGTCCTTGATTGATTAGTGTTTTGCGGGCACATGAACTATGAAAGGCTAAGCAGGTGGCGGTTGGCAT